ATTAAATTTATAAAAAATTGCTGTTTTATCAGATTTTAAAAAGATTTTGTTAGATCTATTAATGAAGTATGAATGATTTTGTTATTAATGATTTTGTTATATCGATTAATGAAGTATGTATTTTCGATTTGTTATTTTTACATTCGACCTCTCTTTTTATTATCACTGTGATATATATATATATATATATATATATATATATATATATATATATATATATATATATAATATGTAAATATGTATAAATGTGTGAAATAACAGAGACAACATCCATACTACGAATAAATATACATTTTTATTCCACATCGTTTTGCACAACTCTGAGATTTATGCAAATGGTAATCGTCAGGCGATGATTGGAAACGGGGATGCAATTCACAGTTGTACGAAATGGCGAGGAACAAATGCATATTTATTAGTACTATATATATATATGCGTGTGAGTTAGGCACCTCCATGTTGCATGATGGTTAGCAAGCAAATAATTTACGACTGAATAGGGAGTTCGATGCTCACTAGGCGTCACATAATTTTGGTCTTCAGCCACATCTAAGCTACGCTTAGAAAACCACAACGTGTAAGTTGGAAATATTGGTGTAATCCGACAAAATGATTAAATAAGGAACATATTGAGAACTATATGAAAATAAACGCTTTAATCTTAAATTTCATACATATATGTCATTCGCAGACGGTACTGTTTCGCGGCTCCTCATTGCGACTAGACAAGTGAATGACTCAAGCCTGGATCGAAACCCAACTGACTTGGCATCAGTCAGAGCTTCTATCACTGAGCCATCTGCACACAAGATAGCAAATCGGCCAAATCTGGCGTATTGTTTTTTACAACCGTAAACAAGCGCCAAGCAGCCATAGTGCTCCATTCATTTTACTGAAAGCTTCATTTACGCAGGTGACCGTTGTTTTTTTAGAATTAGCTTGTCATTCAACAGTACTCAATTGAAAATATATTTTCAAGAACCAAATTATATCTAAAGCTGAATTATACCCACACAAATAACCTGTTGAAAATAACCACTGATTGCAGGGTGAAGAGCAGCGGCCATGTTAATTTTGTCAGCTCTGACGGATTTGAGAGAGTAAGTGGCAGTGTCATCTACATAAATGCCTACTTGGGAAGGTCAGAAACAGCGTTGGATCCAGGATAGAGCCTTGAAGGACACTCACGTTTGTGTGAAAGGATCAGGAATTGGGCCCTTTCAGAACGACCTTCATTTCACGATTTGATAGGAATGATTGGATTAGATAAAGCAATTTCCTGTAATACCGTATCCATGAAGCTTAAGTAGAAGAAAAGCCTGAAAGATCTATAGCCACAGCTGGAGCTTCGCCGTTGTTATCAAGAGCTTGATATACATGTTCAATGATGGCCGTAAGCACATCAGCGGTAGACCGCGGGAAACTGAATCCATAGAGTTAAGATACTTCAACATTGATTCAAGCGTCGAATACTTTGCCAAAAATCGGTAGGAGACTAGCAGGATGATAGTTAGTGGGATCAGACGGCTCTCCTCCAACAAGCTGGAAGCAGCGAGGTAATAGTTGTAGAGTTTGGAGAGTACTGGGGCCAACTCGCGGGCCCATTTCTTTAGGACGACGGCTATATATATATATATATATATATATATATATATATATATATATGAAGAAATCGTCAGGCCACGAGCACTTGTGGCCTGACGATTGCATCTAGAATGTAACAGACTGTCACCTCTAAGTGTTGACTTCTATGTTTTTATATTTACATATATATATATATATATATATATATATATATATATATATATATATATATATATCATATATATAGTGCTGGTGTTAATAAAACAGTACTCAATATAATACAAAAGAACTATTAAATATATTTTAATAAATATATATCCCTCACTGATAGTAGAACTCGTAGTTTCATGCACAACGAAATCTTCATATGCTGAGTATAGACTGACTGTTATGTAATTTAAATTTTAAAAATAATTAATTATTGCAATGTTGCCACAGTTTATATTCTGGTATTACAGGGTTTTTTTTTTTTAAAAATTTATTATTTATTTAAAATAAACGGAATTTGCACATATATGTAAAAATTAAAAAAAAATATCTTAGAGTTGTGAATATTAATTTTTATATTAAGCATAAAGTGAGATTACTTGTTCTTAAGAAAGTAATAACATTACAAATTAATCTGGATCAACGTATTTAAGCAGATATTTTCATATATGCCTACATGCAACCATCAATTCATTTTTCTTGTTCAATAAGTTACTGTTTTATACGTGTTTTAAGATAAACAGTTTTTCAACAAGTCATACGTTACGTCTATATTCTTTCCCTTTAGATTTGGGTCTTGCTGTATTATTCCAAAAGAAAAAAGTTGTACTACCATTATTCTTTAATTGCCAGAAATATTTTTAAATGACAGTACTGTTTTTGTATTTTACATTGCTTAAAGTCATTCAATGATGGTAGAAACGAAACTTCCAAGAATTTTCAGTGGAAGTATAATAAAATTTAAGATCGTTACCGGAATGTATACTAGCTCGGTGTACAATATTATTAGTCACACATTGACTGTTTAAAGGATAGATCTTATTTTTTAAAATAACGTTGTTCTTGTTGAAAATATATTTGTTTAATATAATGTTCTTATGTTAGGATATGGATTTATCTATGATATTAATACAGCTATAGCTGATCTTGACATTAATTTTGATAAAAATATTTTTTTAGGTTTGGTTAAAGTTCTTATGTATTAAATTTAGGAAAATATTACGATATTAATTAGAACATTTCGATTAAAAGGTGGATTAAACCATTTGATGTTAGCCTTATAGTGTCTTTTGCTTATTTTTAATTTGTTTATTTCCAAATACACTAATTTTACTTTATGATTTGTCAGTTCTAAAACATTTATATATTTAATTTTATTACTATCAAATATTTGCTTATTGCTGGAGTTGGTAGATAATCTAACTTGGTCAGATTTATGTAAATTATATAGAATTTTGTGGTGGTGGTTTGATTCATTACTTACGTATCTATGGTTATATAGGTATTCGGTATGTGGCTTGTAATAAAAATGATTAAAATCATATCGAAAAAAGTTGATAACTTTAGCATTGGTAGCAGTGTTAATATTTAGGTCGTAATGTTTAAAAATATCTGTTCCTTTCTCAATCGGTTTATATTTCGTGGACTTGTTTTACACAGACACACACACACACACACACACATATATATATATATATATATATATATATATATATATATATATATATATATATATATATATATATGGGATTAATAAGCCTGCCTTAGATGCGACACAGGGCCGGAAGTATGAACATTCCAGTTAGGATCATTACTAACTCGTAAATGATCCAGCAAGACAAACTTGCTAACCATTAAAATGCACGAAGTGCCCATATATATATATATATATATATATATATATATATATATATATATATATATATATATATATATATATATATATATATATATATTACATAGAATAGAATCTAAAATGACCTCATTCAAATAGCTATTTCGGCCAGCAAGACTTACTTATTAAAAGTCACATCAGAGATTCGAAGAAATAAAATAGGAACTCAATAGAACAAGAAGCAGAAGAAGAAGAAAGAAGAAAAAAAAAAGAAAAAGAAAAATTAAATCGGACAATTTAATTAAATAGAAAAAAACTCTCTGTCTCTCTCTGTCTGTCTGTCTGTCTCTTTCTCTCTCTCTCTCTCTCTCTCTATATATATATATATATATATATATATATATATATAGAGAGAGAGAGAGAGAGAGAGAGTAATGATAAAATATGGGAATCCATATGGAATTTCTAGGAGGATATAGATCTTGGGAGAGCTCTATGTCAAAAACAGAGCAAAATGTTTATTAATTAAAGAATATCAAATGCTTAAAATCACATAAGGTAATAAACTTTATTTGAAGCTTTCATGAAATGAAAATCATTACCTATGGGATTTTAAGTGATTTAAATATTGATAATAATAATAATAATAATAATAATAATATATATATATATATATATATATATATATATATATATATAGAGAGAGAGAGACAGACAGAGACAAATATATTTATATATATATATATATAGATAGATAGATAGACAGATATAGATATAGATAGATAGATAGATAGAGAGAGAGAGAGAGAGAGAGAGAGAGAGAGAGCGTATCCTTTGAGATTTTTTTGTTCGTTTTTTAAATCATGAATTTTTTACCCGCTTCCTATAAAAATTCTTTACCCGCTTCCTATAAAAATTCATTATGCATCTCTTAGTAAATGTACAACGATATATTTGTACGATTGAAATATTTGGCAAAACAGGTAACCTTCTGCGTTCTTTAAACAGGTCTTAAATCAATGTCACATTCAGTCTACATTCACAATCACCCGCTAAAATTCCAGACGTGACACTCCGATAAAATGGCCCGTTTCGTTGAATGTCTCTTCTCTTCTGCGATTCCTATGTTTGTGGTCAATTGCTACGTTTCAATTCATACTGACACATGATTTTATCACTGGATTCTTTTATTAAGAGATTATAGACGAATGACTTGTATTTGCTTCACATGTCATTATTAAGAAATAAGTTCCACTCAGATATCTACCTATCATCAGAAACAGACTCCCATCAGGATGTTTTTCTCGATCACGATAATATTGGTCTCTTTAGTTCTGGGATTAACCGTTTCTTTCTACATAGCCTCATAAAATGCACTTCTTAACTTCTCTTACGATCATATAACATAAAGTAACCCAATACCTCTTGGCACTTGTATTAGATGAACATTAATAAAAAAACAGAAGAAGAAAATGGCACTGTAATGAAAAACAGTAAGCTTCAAATTCCCTACATTTGCGAATGCTGTTCGCTAAAATGTTATAATAATCATTACAAGCGGAAGTACTTTTCTGTCGGTTTTTGCACTTTGCGTATGTATGTGCTTGACCTAATCTCTCTATCTTTTTTTATTTATCTCTCTTTCTCTCTCTCTCTCTCTGTATGTGTGTGTGCTTTTTTTTTGCTGATGATTTTGTCTCGAATTTGTGCTTGTCTGATCGAAGTCTTCAATTAAGATAAAAGCGGGCATCGCGTCGAGTTCGACAAGACAGTTGCAAGTTTCCACAAGTCTTCACCTGAAACAACGTCAAACTAATTTGTTGTCACAACAAATTAGTAGCTTTATAAATTGGATTAAACTCTACTTTCGTTTTTTATTATCTATATTAAAAATAAATTTCCGTTGCTTTCTTTCTTGATCCTGCCTTTACATCGTTTTTCTTTTTTCACTTTTTTTCTTTACTTTCTATTTGTTCTTTCTTTCTCTTTGTCCATTTGTTTCTTTCATTAAGTCATTCTTTCGTTTTCTTCGTTTTTCTATTCTACGTTTAATTCTTTTAATTTTTTTTATTACATTTTTCTTTCATTTGTTTTCTTCTTCTTTTCTTTCTTCTTTTCCTGCTTTTTCTTCTTCTTTCCTTTCTTCTTTTTGCTGCTTTTTCTTCTTCTTTCCTTTCTTCGTTTTCTGCTTTTTTCTTTTTTCCTTTTTTCTTTCTTTTTTCTTTTCCTTTTTTTTTATTCTTCTTTCTTTTCTTCTTTTCCTCCTCTTTATCCTTCCCGACTCTCTTCTTTTTACTGCTCTTTCTTGTATGTTTTACCTGCTTTTATTCTTCTTTCCTTTCTTCTTTTCCCAGTTTTTTATTTTTCTTCTTTATTCCCGCTTTATATTCTTCTTTACTTTCTTCTTTTTCCTGCTTTTTATTCTTCTTTCCTTTCTTCTTTTTTTTTTTGACTCTGATTCCCTTTCTTCTTTTTCCTGGATTTTATTCTCCGTTCCATTCTTCCTTTTCCTTCCTTTTCCCTTCTTTCCTTTCTTCTCTTTCCAGCTTTACATTGTTCTTTCCATTCTTCATTTTCCTGCTTTTTCTTTCTTTCCTTTCTTCTTTTTCCAGCTTTATATTCTTCTTTTCTTTCTCATTTTTCATGTTTTTTTATTCTTCTTTCTTTTCTTCTTTTTCTATTTTCTTTTTCTTTTTCTTTCCTATCTTCTTTTTCGTGCTTTTATTCTTTCTTTTCTTCTTTTATCTGCTTTTTATTCATTATCCTTTCTTCTTTTTCATGTTTTTTTTTTTTTTTTCTTATTTTTCCTGCTTTTTATACTTTTTTCTTTTCTTCTTTTTCCTATTTTTTATTCTCCTTTCCTTTCATTTTTTGCTGATTTTTATTCTTTCGCTATTATTCTTATTCTATGTTTTCATTATATCAACTTTTTCTTTTGTTCTTCTTCTTCTTCTTCCTCTTCTTCTTCTTCCTCTTCTTTTTTCGTTTTCCTTCCTCTCTTTGGAAACTTTTATTCTCCGTTCCATTCTTTCTTGATCCTTTTTTTTTTTTTTTCCTTTACTTTCTTTTGTTCTTTTCTTTCTCTTTGTCCATTTGTTTCTTTCATTAAGTCATTCTTTTCCAGCTTTACATTGTTCTTTTAATTTTTTTTATTACATTTTCTTTCATTTTCCTTTCCTTTTTTTTTTGCTTTTTTTTCTTCTTCTTTCTTTTCTTTTTGCTGCTTTTTCTTCTTCTTTCCTTTCTTTGTTTTCTGCTTTTTATATTTTTTCTTTTCTTCTTTTTCCTGCTTTTTCTTCTTCTTTCTTTTCTTTTTCCTGTTTTTTATTCTTCTTTCTTTTCTTCTTTTCCTCCTCTTTATCCTTTCCGACTCTCTTCTTTTTACTGCTCTTTCTTGTATGTTTTACCTGCTTTTATTCTTCTTTCCTTTCTTCTTTTTTCTTTTTTATTTTTTCCTTTATTTTTTTCTTTTTCCTTTCTTCTTTTTTTCTCTTTTGACTCTGCTTTTCCTTCTTTCTCCGTTTCCATTCTTCCTTTTCTTCCTTTTCTTTTTTCCTTTCTTCTCTTTCCAGCCTTTCCTTTTCATTTTCCTGCTTTTTCTTTCTTTCCTTTCTTCTTTTTCCAGCTTTTTATTCTTCTTTTTCTTTTTTCATTTTTCTTCCTTTATTTTCTTTTTTTTCTTGCTTTCTTTTTCTTTTTTTCCTGATTTTTATTCTTCTTTCCTTTCTTCTTCTTTTTTGCTTTTTATTCTTCGTTCCTTTCTTCTTTCTCCTTATTTTAATTCTTCTTTACTTTCTTCTTTTACTGCTTCTTATTCTTCTTTCATTTCTTCTTTTACTGCTTTGTATTCTACTTTCTTTTCTTCGTTTTCCTGCTATTTATTCTTCTTTCCTTTCTTCTTTTCAAGCTTTCAATTCTTCCTTCCTTTTTTGTTCTTTCCTTTCTTCTTTTTCCTTCTTTTTATTCCTTTCCTTCTTCTTTTTCTTCGTTTTTATTCTTCTTTCCTTTTTTCTTTTCCAGATTTTTCTTCTTTCCTTTCTTCTTTTTTTCTGATTTTCTTCTTTTTCCTTTCTTTTTTTTTTACCTTTTTCTTTTTTTTTTTCATTCTTATTTGTTTTCTTCTTTTTCCTGCTTTCTATTTTTTCCTTTCTTCTTTTTACTGCTTTTCATTCTTCTGTCCTTTCTTTTCTTTTATTTTTTTCTTCTTCTTTCTTTTATTCTTTTTTTTCTTCTTTTTCTTTTTTTTTTATTTTCTTTCTTTTTATTCTTTTTCTCCTGATTTTTTCTTTCTTTTTTTTTTTTTTTCTTTTTTTTATTTTTTTCCCCTGTTTTTTCTTTCTTTTTATTCTTCTTTCTTTTATTCTTTTTCCCGATATTTTTCTTTCTTTTTATTCTTCTTTCCTTTCTTTTTTATCTTCTTTTCATTCTTCTTTCTTTTCTTCTTTTCATGTTTTTATTCTTCCTTCATTTTTCTTTTTCCTACTTTTTAATCGTCTATCTGTTCTCCTTTTCCTGTTTAATTCTTTCTTTTCTTCTTTTTCATGCATTTTCTTCTTTTTTTCTTCATTTTCCTTCTTTTTATTCTTCTTTCCTTTCTTTTTTCTCGTGTTTTTTATTCTTCCTTATTTTTTCAGTTTTTACTGCTTTCTTTTCTTCTTTTTCCTGTTTTTATTCTTCCATCTTTTCTTCTTTTTCTTTTTTCCTTTATTCATTCTTTTTTCATTTTATTCTTTTTCTTTTATTCTTTTTCTTGAAATTTTTTTCCTGTTTTTTCTTCTTTCCTTTCAATGTAACTTCTTTTTCGATATTTTCCTATCTTCTTTTCTACTTTTTATTCATTATCCTTTCTTCTTTTCTTCTTTTTCTTCTTTTTTCTTTTCTTTTTTATACCATTTCTTTTCTTTTCTCCTTTCCTTTTTTTTTCTGATTTTCCTTTCCTATTATTCTTAAACGAAATTTATTTTTCGTTTCCTTTTTTTTCCTTCCTATTTTTAAACTTTTTCGTCTTTTATTATCTATATTAAAAATTTTCCGTTGCTTTCTTTCTTGATCCATTTTCCTTTCTTTTCTTTTTCTAATTCCTTCTTTTTCTTTTACTTTTAATTCTTTTATGGCTTACATTTTTTCTTTCATTTGTTTTTTTTTTTCCTTTTTTCTTTTTGCTGTCTTTTCTTCTTCTTTCTTTTCTTTTTGCTGCTTTTCCTTCTTCTTTCCTTTCTTTGTTTTCTAATTTTTTCTTTTCTTCTTTTTCCTGCTTTTTCTTCTTTTTCTTTTCTTTTTCGTTTTTCTTCTTTTTCCTTTCTTCTTTTCCGCCCTCTAAATCTTTTATTCTTGTTTTCCTTCTTCTCCAGACACAGTATTTTCCTTCTTTTTCATTATTTCCTTTCTTCTTTTTCCAGCTTTTACATTTTTCTTTCCATTCTTCTTTTCCTGCTTTTTCTATTATTTTTTTCTTTCTTTTCTTTTTCATGTTTTTTCTTCTTTTTTTTTCTTTTTTAGCGCAAAAGCTTTTTCTTCTTCGTTCTTTCTTTTAATTCTTTTTCAACTTTTCTTTTTCTTCGTTTTTTTCCTGCTATTTATTCTTTCCTTTCTTCTTTTCAAGTTTTTTCTTTTTCCGAAAACAAATAAAAAAATATTCATACTAATAAATAGTTTTTTATTCTGCTTTTATTATAAAACCGAAAAGATTAGAACAAATTTATTTTCAAGAATCTAAATTTATTCTTCCATCTTTTCTTCTTTTTCCTGATTTTCCTTCTTCTTTTTCCTGCTTTTAAATATCTAAAGAACAATATATTCATTTTCATCTTTTTTCCTGAAGTTTTTATTCATTATCCTTTCTTTTTTTCATGTTTTTTCTTTTTTTCTTGCTCCTTTTCCTTTCTTTTTTTTATTTTTCTTCTTTTCTCTTATGCTTCATTACCAACTTTTTTCTTTACAAATTATATATTTTTTTCCGTTGCTTCCTCCTGCCTTTTACATCGTTTTTCTTTTTTCACTTTTTTTTTTTTTTACTTTCTATTTGTTCTTTCTTTCTCTTTGTCCATTTGTTTCTTTTTTAAGTCATTCTTTCGTTTTTTTCTTTTCTAGAAATTAATTTTTTATTACATTTTTTTTTCATTTGTTTTCTTCTTTTTCGATATCGTTTCTTTTTCTTTTTTTGCTTTTTTCTTTTCTTTCTTTTCTTTGTTTTCTGCTTTTTATTTTTTTTCTTTTCTTCTTTTCCTGCTTTTTCTTCTTCTTTCCATTTCTTCTTTTTTTTTTTTGACTCTGATTCCCTTTCTTCTTTTTTTTCTGGGTTTTATTCTTCCCTTCCTTTCTTCTTTTTTTTCTTTTTGACTCTGATTCCCTTTCTTTTTTTTTGGAATTCTCATTCTCCCTTTCCTTCTTTTTCCCTTCTTTCCTTTCTTCTCTTTTACTTGTTCTTTTTCTTCATTTTCCTTTTTTTCTTTCTTTCAAAGGGCTTTATATTCTTCTTTTTCTTTCTCATTTTTTCATGGATTTTCTACAATTCCTTTCTTTTCTTTCTGCCTGTAACATGGAAATTCTTCTATTATTCCTTTTTTATTTATATATTTTCTTGCCTTTCATCATCCCTTTAGTTCTTCTTAGTTTTCCTCTTTTAATTATTTTTCTTTTCTCCGTATGCTTTCGTTTATTTCTTCTTTCGTTCTATTTTTTTTGTTATTAATTTTTAGTTTCTACTTATATTTCCTTTTTCTTACTCTTTCTTTGTTTTTCATACGTTCTGTCTTTCTTTTTTTTCTTCCTTCCTTCTTATTTTCCTTTATTTTATGATTTCCTCATTTGTTTCTATTAATTTTTGTTTTTATCTTTCCGTCATTCTTTCTTGTTTTTATTTCCATTTTAATTATCTCCCTTCTTTTAAATCTGTTTTAATATTCATCTGATTTCATCCTTATTTTCAGTACCTCTTCATTCCAATTATCTTTTCATCATTTGCTTTACAGAAATTCCTGAGCATCAATGTAACTCTGTAGCACCATTTGCTTTCATCAAAACATGTATCTGCATTTTCCATTCTTTTCTTTCTAATTCCGATCATTTGAATCTCCGTTTTCCTTTTGCTATTTATTAACTATGAATTGTCCCTATCCATACATATATTTCATATATATATATATATATTTATATCAACTAAGTATATATATATATTGAAATCGAGGATTATAAAACCGAAAAGAAACAAATTTATTTTCCATTATATATCCTTTTGAACTTCGTATTTTGTTTGTAGTCGTTAATTTATTTATAATTAAAAAGGACTCATGCTATTTTAATCGTATTCCCCAATTTTTCCCTCCAATCTTGTTAAATTAGCTCGGAGAATTAGGATGTGGATTCATGATCAAATAAAAATGAAAGGGATGTACTAATTTCTTATGTACTAAGGGTCGATCCTCAAGGTTAAAATAATGATGTCCATTCTATATTTGTCGTTTATAACAAATCTATTTTTAATCACACCCTCCTCACACACACACACACACACACACACACACACACACACACACACACACACATATATATGGTTCAGAGGTGAGCTTTTGGAGAAGATACAAACAAGGAAGAAGCTTGTACTTAACACCAGGAAGAGGCAGATGAAATTTTGGGAACACGTAATGAGAAAGGAGGGCTTGGAGAATCTGATACTCACAGGTAAAAAATAGGGAAAGAGAGACAAGAGAAAGCAACGCATGACATACTTTGCGTGGTTAAGCAAGTGGATGACAGAACGTGGTCTGGAGGAGGTGGCATAGACTCGAAAGTTATTGAGAACTACAAGGGATAGGGGGAAGTGGAGAGATATGATCGCCTACGTCCTGAAAGTACATAAAAAGAGAAGAAATTATCAGGCTGCAACAGATTGTACAAAGAACCCGCCAATCCGCGCATTACATCAAACGACTATTGATTTGCCAAAAGAACCATCCAACAGGCGTAGGATACCTGTTTTTAAAAAAAAGGCACTTTACCTTTTTCTTTTCACCTGGGAGCGCCACCTGCTGTCCGTAATATCGCGACAATCGACACTTTATTCTCGACTACTGCCAGAAATACATGCGACCCTAAGCCTATTTGCCCTCTGTGGTAGGTCACTACATCAAAGTATTAAGAAACTAGAAAATCTCGTTAGAAACAAAGAAAGGGCTACCCAACTGCGATGTAATATCGGGCCTTCGTTTTTCCATTAAGTCCTCACTGATGAAGAAAATCCTTGAGGCAACAGAAATATGGTTCTACAGAAGGATGCTGAGAATACCATGAACTGAAAATTTGAATAAATAAGGTGTTTTAGGGAAAATGGAAAGTTAATGTAAACCTTTACTTAGAATCAGAAAAGGACATTTGAATTGTCTCATGACTCTTTCTATTGTCAAAGAGTTACTCATACTCCATATACAGACAGTTTTGTCGTAATATATAAATATAAATACAACGCTACTGCTTAGATGTGGCACAAGGCCGGAAGTATGGAGCACCCAGTGAGGATCGAACTCACTACTCAGTCGTACTTGTTCTATCGAGACAAGCTTGATATATATATATATATATATATATATATATATATATATATATATATATATATATATATATATATATATATATGTATGTATGTAATTATTCCAATAAATCAAGTCTTTCTATCAGTTTTATCTTTATTCGTGCATTATCTAATGGTTTTGCACAGTCTGTATAACATGGTCCTGTCTTTCTGAATTTTCATTGCTTTCTCTGATACAATTCAGATCATAAACATTGGATTTCTTATTTGGATCTTGTTTATCAACGCCACACAATTCTTGTCTTATTTCCTTTCCTTATTACTACAAACAAATAAAGTAAAAAACTCTGACAGAATTAATGCTATTTTTAATTAACATTAATAAAAGAACTCATTCTTTAAAATCACCTTAGACAATTCTGAAATTTGAAAACCGCCCTTAGTATTAATATTTGAAGGCTTTAACACATTCACGGTTTTATTTATTTTACCCAAGAGATCCTTTTTGTTGGCGACAAAGTCAATAAAATGTGTATTATCTGAATTATCGCGTTATAGATTTCGCTTGATACGATTGATTTGTTTTTTTTGTTTTTTTTTACGGATTATCGTCAGTTTGCAGGTTATTTAAAGCTAGAAAATATATTTTCATTCTAAGAATTTTTTTGGAGATTTTCTAATGTAAGTACTAATGATTAACCTATAGCTGGAGGGAAAAGTCGCCACTATATATATACAGCTATATATTCGCACCTTTCCTCAAAGTTATTTGTGCGTAACTGAATATAACGAACCCGGCTAAAATTGGAACTGCAACGCGGCCACCCATTTAGGTACTGAGCAGACTCGACATTTCTTATCTTCGGTGATTGTACAGGAATTACTGTTTCAGAGTGATATTTCCGTAAGTGAATTGTTTTATAGCATCTAAGATTTTCTCATTGCTAATTTTGATAATGCCCTTAACAAAATCAATGTAATTTTTTATTTTATTTAAACAGGTTTTGAGTGAAATGCATTTTGTACCCTGCGTATTCTGTCTTTATTGTTACATATATATTCTTTACCGGACTAAAGATAACCATTATTATTTAGAGAAAGTTTTAGGCAAGTTGCTTTTTTTGCTTATCTACACTTGTGCTTTTGCTTGTGCAGAGGTGTCCTGCCCATTATAACGCCTGTCCAAACACCGTCTGCTTTACTTTTGCGCTTAGATAATGACTTGTTAGCGTATCCAGTTCACTAAATCCATCTTGAGTGAATAACTACGTTTCGGTACAAATCTCCTGTAGATGGCATCTAGCGTTGTGAAGCCAGACAGTTTATAGCAAGATTTACATTGATTCAAACACTTCTCTTATTGTGAATGTAAAGTTCACTTCTTTTCTTTTTAAATGCTA